ACTTGGAATAAAAATCAATTATTTTTGGATTTTGAAGAAACTTGCATATTACTGCAGAGTCACACTGTAAATCTATACTGGCGGAACACTTCCAAAACTGAAAATGGCGACATTCTCAGGAGCATTTCACTTTCACAAAAATCGAAAAATCTGCTTTTGAATTTCTCTTTCAACTTGCTTTGTACATAATTATTTGAATTCCATGTTGTAGGGTTCTTCTCACCATCAATTTTGGAAAGTGGATGGAAGTCTTATTTAGCAATTGACTTTCCCACAGGATTAATTTCGTGCCAAAAGCTTTCACAAAGTAATAAAGATTACGAACAAGTAGATCTTTTCCTAGTTAAGCGGTAGTTCAAATCATTGAGATGACCTGTTATATCGACAAGAAATGCAAAGTCTCTCAACCATTTCTCATCGCTGAACTGGAGAATAAATTTCTCTTTAGCTTCCATGAATTGTTGAACTTCGCTCTTCAAAGAAAACAGGCCCTGAAGCATCTTTCCTCGGTTCAACCAACGTACTTCCGCGTTATACACAACGTCACCATATTCAGCTTCCAAATCACTCAAGAACTGTTGAAATTGCCTGTGTTCAAGTCCTTTAGACCAAATGAAATTAAACACTTTTACAACAGAGATAAGAATCTACCCTTTTTGTAAAACTGATATTTTATGCGTAGTCAAAATTTGATTATTTAAAATTACATAAGATAAAGTGAAATTTTTGAAAATTTGTCATTTTAAGGAAATTTTATCTCAAATAATATCAGGTATGTCAATGAAAGGTTTTAAATATCAAGAACGAGACAAAAGGAATTTTTTTAAGACAAAAAGCTGACAAGGCAATTTTTCTTGAAATCAAACTTTTCTTTAAATTCTTCAATTTTTTTTTTCAAATTGAAATGTGTGTGGGGCTACTAAAATGCCTTCAGAGGGCCACTGGTTGAAGACCCCTAGTTTAGATGGTGTGTGTTAGTCAAAAGGTTGAGAACCGCTGAACTAGATCATTCATATGGAACAGTGCATTTACGTGATTGAGTGGCTATATCAGAAGAATATTGAGATTTCTTTCTAAGCTCAGCTCATAATGATGCTAAATGTCACAGGCACAGCGATTTCGAGATTTCCATGTGCTCCATCTGTGAATCTGTGACCTGCCTGAAGCAACACCTCCTTACAGAAGGAAGCCAGGACACTGAAGCGAGAGGAAGCTCTGACGTCACAGGCAGTCGTCTGACGAACGTCGCTCTTTCCAACAAGCTCAAAGCCCCGTAGTACTGGCGAGCGATGAACGTGTGGCGAGTCTTTTGAATTTTTATATTAACTTGTTCTCGTGATGTTATAATTTCGTAATTCCATTGGATTAAATAACGACGTGCTGCAGTGACATGTTGTGAAAATGATCCAAAAGATCTTTTTGAACCTTCGAAGTGAACTTAAACAAGCAGAAATAAATAGACAAGAAGTCTGCAAAGCAAAGATGGCTACTACATATATTAAAAATAAATTGAGTCAACTCGACTCATTTTTTTCATATGTGCAAACATATTTTGATTTTTTGCATTAATTCAGCTAGCTTATTATAAGATTATTCATGTTAATCTTAGTTCAGAGATCATAGTTCATCAATAATTTGGAAATAGCTGCTGCTTTTATATTGTGAATTGAGTAATTATTAATAGTTTTAAATTGTGGTAAAATGTGCTATCCTGATCATTTTATTGTATCTTATGATTATAAATTCATTTGAAATGGCCAGAGATTTATTGCTTTAAAACTTTGTAGAGTGTGTTTAAAAAGATGTTACTGGTATGCTATAACTTCAGTGTTACTTTGTTATTCTGACTGTTTGCTTAAATTTGTAAATAAAAAATTATTATTTTTCATTTGTGAAATGTCATTTTCAAGTTCTGATATACAACTAATATAATACAATTAAGTATATATGCAACTAATATTATTGGTTTTATGGATTTACGGAATAATTTTAAATTGCAGTGTTGAATTATTTGCTAAACAAATCTGTAATATATTAATTTCTTTGAAACTTGCAAGATACACAGCATATTATATTTAAAGTTTGGTGCATTTTTATAATATTTACTTTTAAAGACAAATTACTTGTCTGAAGAAAAATGAGGTGGTAAGTAGTAACTTGTGTGCAGATAATCTGGAAAATCTTTTTTTTTTTTTTTTTTTTTTTTCATGAATATTAGAAAAATATAGTGCAACATTAAGAATGGGCAACTTAAAATATTAAATTATTATGAGATTAAAGCAGAAACTTCCTTTTTGAAGTTAGTATTGCTGATTTTGAACTTATTAACTGCTACGTTTAACTTTCGAGGATGTGTAAATAATTCATTAGTTAGCCTAGAAATTAGAAGCAGAAAATTCTTAAATTTACCTAAAATTGTTATCGTGTTAAACTTTGAAATAATTAAATTAATCATCGCGTATTAATACTAAGATATTTCTTATGCCTAAATAAGAACAATCATATATTTCATAATGTTATGTGCTACAGTAAGATATTTTTCCTTACAAAAAATGGAATTTATCATAAAAAATTATACTTAAAACTACATAAAATTATGAAAAGAGGCAACTAGTAAGATATTTTTCCTTACGAAAATGTATTTATTATAAAAATTATAACTTAAAACTACAGAAAATTATAAAAAGAGGCAATTTTTTTTTTTAATTTTGGAAGTGTTACTTCATACTATTTAAACCATTGAAATAGAAAGGACGATCTTAAGGAAATACTTATCTTTTACGAATGCCTACAATCTTTTTTTTTAATTTAATTATTCTTTAATAAGCAGGGAAGTAGATATTTTGATAGAAATTAAACCATATTCCAATAACAACGTCTTCATGCACCATGTTTGTTAGTAGATTATAGAAACAAGTTGTTTTATATTTCACAATGTTTCTCTGTGAAGTAATTTTTATAATTTAAAAATAGTTTTGACGGTAAACGTCTGTAGTTAAATCATGGTCAATATTATTATGTTATTTTGAATATAACCTACAAGGTATGAATGTTTAGTATTTATCTTTGGCCAAAGAATTTAAAAAATCTTATTTATTTATTTTTAATTAATTATAAATAAATATTAATCGAAAATTGAAATCGTAAAATTCGAAATATTAATTGATCGAATTAATCGTTTTGCGTTATAAACGACAAAAGTTGTGAATCTTTGAATAAAATCCAACCCAAATATCTATATCAAATAATGAAAGCAATGTTAAGTGCGGCACTAGCGCGTAACCTATTTCGTTTCTTTGCCTTCTCGGAGTTTCGACTCAGACGACTACTTGTGACGTCACAATCCAGCGTCCTGGCTTTCTTCTGTTAGGAGGTGTTGCCTGAAGGCGCCCATGCCTCGAATTCCCCCTCCCCCCCGAAGAAAACAAATCAAAACCAGTCTAAGAATTCCCTTCCCCGTGAGTCGTGAATGACAGCGCATTATGTAAAATCAATAACATATGCCTTAATATGTGAAGTTTAACTTAATAGATTAAGTTAAACTTCAAACTAAACAGGTAAGAAAATAAACAATAAAATATTAATAGAGTATAATAATCATACTGCAGATTATAAAACTGAAATTAATTTCAATTACGAACTAAAACGATTTATTTGTTTCAAAATATTGGCAAGATTTTGTGGAATAATATTTCACAAGGAAGACGTGCATATAACTTTATCCCCAATGTAAGCTTGCATGTATGTGCTCGAATCTTTCATTAAATTACTATATAACAGGGCAAGGACCCTTCGCCACATATTTCTACTCAAAAAATATGGAGAACTCTGATATCAGCATATTTAGAGAACAGGGAATTTCTGATCATTACACATGCTTATGGAGCTTAACTGAAGATAATCACATAAAATCCTCACAAATTGATCTCCTGGCAATGCAAAGGTTTCTAATTAAAGATAAACGTCAGTATCCAAAGTTTCAAAAAATTATGCAACGACTCTCGTCTTACAGCCTAGGTTTTTGTCAAGTCCTCCTACTGCATAAATTTAATGAAATGTTATATTCTATGAATATGTTCAAAAATATCCCTCTTGTTAACTTAATAAACTGTAATAATGCTTTATAACTGTAAAAACCCAGTGGGCACCTCTTTATCGTTATAAATTGCTAAATTTCATTGTGTTCCCAGTACTTATTGCATTTATATGTTACTTATTATGTTTATCTGGTATTTTTTTACACCGAAACAGGTGTTCAGTTTAATTTGTTAATTTCAAATTGCATCGAAACTATACTGCAATCTCTTTACGTCCTAAATCATTATTTTTAATGAATACTAGATGTGGGGTGTACAATGAGATTGCACGATGTGTCTTAATAGGTAAACTCTAGGTCCTTTGGAAAGCTTCAGTTGCTAATTTCCTCAACCTTTGTAAATTCTTATAAAACTTGCAATTTTTTGAAGAGTTAGTTCGTATAGGAAGGCATTACTAGCTGATAAATGGTACATCGTTGGTCTCCTCCATACTTTTAGCTGTACCTGTATCTGTATATATATAGAGAGATTCATATTCAGTTTTGAAATTTTCATGTTTTTATTTTAAATATGATGTGTGTATTTTCTATTTTATGAGGGTTGTCCAACCTTCATGATCTAATTTTCAATGAATCATTATCTCTTGATTATATAATATATATATTTGTTCGAATCAAACAAATTAAGATAAAATATATATATTTGTTCGAATCAAACAAATTAAGATAAAATCATAAGCCAACATCATGCTTTAAAATTTGAATTATTTTTATAACTGTTATTTGATGAATAGGATGCAACACTTATTTGCTTTATTACCAAATTTGATTTTCAGTATCTCAGCTCCCGTATCGATTAAGACATATCACTTCAGTAAGACAATATTAATACAAATTCTTGAAACAATAAAAAATAACAGAATTACTTGCAATATGAATTTACATTTATTTTGTTTCCCTGTAGCTTTATGTGGCGGCTTGCTGGAGCAATCGGAAGGTACACTCCAAAGTCCTAACTATCCGGATGAATATCTAGCTGATAAAGAATGTATTTGGAAAATTGCAGTTTCTCCAGGAAGCCAAGTGGCACTTACATTCCAGGCGTTTGAAGTAGGGTCTGATTTTTATTTTGCGTTAAGTGTGAACAATGCAAACTCTTAGTCTGTTTTGTGGGGAAGTTTGGGAAGCCTGCGTGATGTAATATTGGCTTAAAAGACGTAACTAACTATGTACTCTGAGAATTCCATTGAATTGGGGTTTCCTGTTCAATATCTAGTAATTGAGTCTTTCAGTCTAATTCCGCTTGAGCCTTCCTTAAACATGTCGTTCATTCTAATATCGATTGAGCCTTCCTTGAACATGTTTTTCATTGTAATACCGCTTGAGCCTTGAACAAATTTTCAAGGAATGAAAGCAGGAATTTAATGAAAACGATCCGTAAATATTTTTAAGGCAGTCTACAGCAAACGAGCATAAGGTGGGCTGAGTCCATTCGTCAAAATAGCACTAAAAACATGTTATGTATGTTGCACTGAATTAATATGAATAGAGTTTGTGAGTCACTACATGTGTCTCATGCTGTCGAACTGTTCCTATATCTGAGCTAGCATAACAAGTTATCATTTGCTTATAGTATTATCACCTTGCAACGCAATGCTCACACATGAAAAGAAATGCAATGCACACATGGTTTCTCAGCACCACGCAAAGCACTGCCCTTAAGTTTAAAAACAGTGTCGAAATCTTCGCCAGACTATCTAAATATTCAACTGACTCAAAAATAGCCAGCCACCCTGAATAATATTACCATGTTTACATAATCCATCACTTATTTCCGTTGATCCATACATATAGGCATTAGCATGATGCAATAAAAGTTTTGATTTATGAAACTAATGCATCTTTTCTCAGTCTTCTAGAATTCATTTGGTATAATTTCGTGCTTAAGTGTAGGGTGTGTCCATTATTCTTACATTGGAAAGTAGTTGACTTTTGGTAGCTAAGCTACTTGAAAAATCCATACGTGCAAGTGTCCGCCTTATTATCATATGAAAGAATGGTGCCGCACGGGTGTTCCCATTTTTGATTAATTAAATTTCACATCTGTCTTTATCGAAAAGATTGAATTGCATAACTTTAAGCAATCACGCCAGAAATTTTTCACTCTTTTTTCAATCTTTGATTTTCTGTAAGATTCTCGATAAAAACTGGCATTAATTTACCGTGTAATTTTATCTAGCGTTCTTTTACTCAGGAATTTTTTAAATAAACATTATTTTTGTAAACCTAGAGAAATGGCAAATTATAAAACACTCAGTCAGATTAGTTTACCAAAATAGAATCACCCAAAATGAATAAATGAACAAATTGCAAGGTATTTTCTCCCTAATTTATTTCCTCATGCCTTCGTCATGTAATTGCAAGCATGCTCGACGTATACTCGAGAGGTCCAAGGTTTGAGTCCCGGTGCGGACATTGCACATTTATCGCGTCTCCTGCTTCAGAATACCCTAATGAATCTGCAAGTGGCACCAAACTAAAAGATGGCGGACGATAATTTGTCACCACCAGGATTTGGCGATTGGGTCCTCTCATCAGTAGTCGTCCTTTAAAAGCGGGAGTTTATAAAGTATTCCACCTTTCCGCATACTCTCGTGGTGTAACTGGAAGAGTACTCAACGCGCATTCGACAGGTCCCGGGTTCGAGTCTATGTGAGAACACTGCGCAATTTTCATGTCTACTTCTTAAAAACCCCCTAATAATTCTATAAAATCAAAATAAAAAGTTGAGCACAGGACTTCCTTCCCCATAAAGGAAACAACCTAGCTAAATTACTGTTATTCTAATGTTTAATTTTATTTCTTTTGTAGGAAAGTGAGTTTGTGATGCACTGAACATGTGATTAACAAAATGGGAAATATTGCATCCCTTTTTCTATATTTTATTATTATGAAACTGGAATTTTCTTTCTTTCTTCAGCTTTAGCAATTTTGCTCAAACTCCAGATGCAACCTTTTTTACTTCCTTCTACGAAGTAAAAAGGAAGTATTGTAATCGCGAAAAGTTTCAGGCAGCACATTTTAACGAAAATATCCATTTTGACCGCTATCGAATGCAATTTAACGATGTTTTTACGTAATATCTGTACGTAAGGACAGAATAAAATACTCTCTTTCCTTCAAAAAAATTATAAAACTGCTTTAAAAATTAATTCTGAAGAGAATTTTTCGTGGCGTCTGTACGAACGTATACACGTACGTAATTCATGCGTACGTACGTATCTCGCATAACTCTCAAAAACGAGTAGCCTCAGAACGTTGAAATTTTGTATAGGACTGCTATAACATGTAGATGTGCACCTCGTATTTTGGTGTGCAATCGGCCGCACCAAACGTATATAAATATATTTATATATATATCCACTCTGTTACCCGGCTCAGTAATCTCAGTTTCTTTATATGTTCTTTTTCTCTTATATGTTGGTAAATTGAACATTTTTTGCTTTAAAAAATGATTGAATTATGTTGTTTCTTTCTTCCGGTTAAGGATTTTATGCCTTTAGTAAATCTGTGTGCAATATTTTTAGAATTATCAGCAATTTTAAAGTTGTTTAATTGCCGCTAAGCTTTTTTTAATGGCGGCCATTGATGTTTACATTTGAAACAGGAGACTAGTGGATTTGTTGCCAATCTAGAGAAACTTAGCTTCGCAACAACAAAGATAACGCCTTCATTTATTATTTAAATCATGCTTAATCCTTTCTGGAATTTTTTCGAGGAAATAAGCGTTTAAGATTTACTTCGTAATTTTTAATATAGATATTTTGAGTTTTTATGTATTTTTGCCTTCTCGCGAAGTGAGAAGAACTGAATTAATTAAATGAGAAATACTCAATCGTCTGTGTGAAAAAACTGTTTCGTTTTTTGTTTTGTTTTTGCTTAATTTCTTTTATACATCATTCTAGCTTTATTATAGTATTTGAATAGAACATGTGGCAACGATTAGATAATTCTATTCTTTAAATGATATAAATTTTGTGCATTATGAGTTATAATATGAACGAAATATATAAGTTAACTGTTATATAATTATTGGATTATATAACAGTTAACTTAGTTTCCGTTATAAAATTATTATATAAGTTAACTGTTATATAATTATTAATACTGTTAAGTGAACCTAGCGCCAGAGTGTCGCTATGGTAAACAAATACTAGAGTGAATTTTAAAGAATGCATTTATTCTATTGTGGTTTATGCGCTGTCGGCGAAGTAGATTTAATTCAATCCAATAAGTTTAAATGAAATGCAAGAAAAAATGCGTATAATTTAATATTCCAATTTAATATTCCAATACAAGGAAGTCATGTGGTGTACACATCAGATTATTTTACTTAGACATCAGGTATTGATGTATATTTAATATTTATGACACCTATGGTTTAAATTCCAGACTTGGCACAGATAAGAAATTGAAAGAACTTTATAAAACATCTGTAAATTTCTAATTTTACACAGCATTAAAACTTGATGGAGAATCCCCAATGACAAAACAATTGAAATTTAAAAAATTGGTTAATAATCCTACCATATTACACATTTCACACAATACCGCGGCAGCTATGAAAAAAATGAATGAACGGCAATGTAATATATAACTAAATTTAATTTTCTTTAACCTTTCAGCACGCGCGTATGCGCAAAATTTACGACAAATTCAATTTTTAATGCATATGTTTCGCATATCGAAGCTGAGACGGCTGAAGGTCATTTCTATTCCTCCTTTCTACCCTTTCCCACATTATGGAATGCGCCAACAGGATGTCATTTGACTTTTTTTTAACTGGGCTTTTGTGCTACGTGGCAGCTTTTTCACAAAAGTTACGACACGCGCGTGGTCGTGTTTTAAAATTCGGAAAATATTTTTTTCTCAAAATATATGTAATTTTGTGTATTAATTGCGTGTATGTAATTTGAATACATTTGGCTCCGTAGTAAATTTTATATCGGTTTTCATTGCAAAAAAAAATATGTGCAATCAGGATTTTGCTCGATTCTTCAAGAATTATCTGAGAAGAAAAGAAAAGAAAAAAGGAAACCTTTGGATGGGAGAGCAATAGGATTCCATTCCTTATTTTTTTATTTCATTTTTAGAAATAAAAAAGAACATAAAGTTAGTTTTTTAAAGTGCGTTTTTGTAACCAGCAAGAAGTAAATTTCCTTGCGGAAGTAAAGTAATGCTAAACGTACTTTTTCTACCAAGGTGTTTTTTTTTTATTTCCTTACTGTCTTGATGAATATTAAAATTCAGCTTCGATTTTAAAATATAATTATTAAATAATAAACGTAAATTTTTCTGTAATGAAATACATCATTGCATTTCCATCTCACTATCTTAAGAACTTAAAAATAATTTACTTATATTTAAATGTGATATCATTTGTATTTTGCAATAATAAAACTAATATTTTATTTCTTAACAAATTTATTATGAATATTCACTCATTTCTGTCGTTTTTCGTGCCAAAAACGGTAAAATAACGGATGTCGTAAAAAATACGACGCGCGCGTTCTGGAAGATTAAATAAAATAGTGTAAACACACCTAGTTAAGAAATTTCTGAACATAATTAACAGCACCATAGAAAGCAGCTATTTTACCTGTTGAAAAAACCCACAGGATTAATAATTAGGATCTAAGAACAAAAACGAGACTACTCCAACTTCACACAAACAAGGACTTTTGTTCTTTAAGTAGTGATTAAGAAATTGTGGCATGTGCATCAGTTGTGATTGACATGCATTTAAATTTCTGAGAACAGTTATTCTCCCAGCTAAAACGTTTGATTCTTCTTACTGAAGAAGAATTTCGTTGAATTGCTTTATTTTATCACGATTTTGAGCCAATTTATTAGCTTTTACTATCCTTAAAAATTTCACTAAGACTTACATTTCAATTTTCTCTTCCACATACGCTTGGAAAACTTATTTTTTGTCATTTAACAACATTAAACTGGACAAAAGGAATTGATCGTCTGTCGAAATTAACCCAAGCATCTACTTGCAGTTTCAAACTTATTAAAGATTCTACAACTGGAAATATTCCAACCGCCTTCTAGCTAGGTTTCGTAGAGGAGGACATACTTGAATTCTTTGTTATTGGGTATTTCATGACCTTGCTATATCTCCACAGTTTTGAAATGTCAATAATATTCGCTATAGAGAAATCATAAGGATGCGGTATTATCTTTTTCCAATTTAGCACTTATATTAATTCCTCTTAGCAGTCCTTTTTTTTTTTTTTTTTTTTTTTTTTTTTTTTTCATATATGTGAAGAGCTTGCTTTAGTTACAGTGGGAGGAAATAATGTCCACTTTCAGGGGACACAAATAGGGTAATTACTCCAGGAAATGCTTAGTACTAATTCCTTTGATAGTTTGTGGAACAGCGATCTTGCATTTATAATCATATGCTTTGCACATACTGTTAAAATGTTTTGATAACCTTCAAAAGTTGAAATGAATGCTGGACAGTTCATGGCTCAAATGTGATTTTGTTGCAAACATTCCAGGTATTTCCGTATAGTATCACCTAAGCTTTCCTCAAGCAGTTTAACTTCAAATGTGTATTCTTATTATTATTAGCTACAAAAGGTATTAAATAAACTTTTATATCCATCTGCTACTCTACCTTAGTATTTCGCCTCAGCGAAATCCGATAATATCAACTCAAACTGACCAAAATGTTAATTTTCGTCATTCGTATAGGACAGCAATAAAAGTTAATAGCTTGGCTAGAAAAGGTAAATAAAAAATAAAATGAAAGTGAAAAAATTGCTCTTTGAGACAGAGTGAAAGTAAATAGATTCCTTTTTCTGAATTTGTGACATAAAAATACGAAATAAAAAATAGTTGTACACCTTCAAATTGTTTTTATGATGAAATTTAAGACGAAGGATTTAGGTTTATGGTATTATAGACATATAGTGACTAGTGTTTCCATTTATTCTATCCATTGTTCTTTCAAAATGATATATAAGTGATAGCCCAGCTGAAATAAAACCGAATTTTGGTATATCTCTACCCTTTTTCTTTGCTTTATTTTCTGAGGTTTACTGAAATATTGACATATATTTCATACTAGCTCTTTCGTTTTTCTCTCCTGTTGTTTTCTTAATGTCCACATATAATGTGCACAAATGTGACTTTGTTGCAGACATCAACAGAAATTTGTAGATGAGACCTAAATTAACCCTTTGCGGCACAGTGTGTCCAATCTGGACACACTTAAAAATTTCCTTCTGTACGCACAGAAAAATTGAATGGAAAAGGAGTTATACGTTACTATAGGTTACTCTTAACCTTTATTTATAGTAGACGGTAGCTCAACACAAACCAGTTCATATATTTTAGCCATGTTTAGTTTTTTTAGGACCCTCATTTTTCAAAGAAATCTTCCAGATTTTGTTTACGGTTTAAAAGGAATTGTTTGAAAAGAAATTTCTATGGTATTTTTTTGGCTGTAGCCTAATCTCCTTATTCTATATTAGTTATAATTTTTACCTTGAAATGTTGCCTAAAATCAAACGGCGAACCCTAGATGTGCCCAGACCGGGCTCACCGATCATCTAGAACAACTGAGAGTCTGTATTCTTTGTTTCTCCGCAGCTCATTTGTCAGTTCATTGAAAAAATGCTCGTTTCAGCACTCTTTTCGAAGCTCTATTCAATCAGTGTACCCACTTTGGGCACACCCACAGAATTAAAACGGTAAGTGCTATCCTCACAAAATTTTACTTGTGTACTCCTCTAGGCCTAATTAGACTGCCTACCTTTTTTTTTTTTTTTTTTTAATAAAAACTCCAACTTTAAAAGGTAGCGTGCCGGAAAGGGTTAATCTGAATTCATTTGTTTTAGCTTCATTTGTCTGAATTAATTTGCATTAGTTTTTACAAATGATAAAATTCGCAAAACTTCCAGATGTCTGACATTAATTAATGTATAGTTATAAGTTAACATTTTACTTATCGGCTTGATATTAGCCCAATGCCTTGGCTTAGGCTACACAAGTATGAAAGCGAATAAACACTATTACAAATATTTAAATATAAAGACAACCAAATACGTAAAAGCTTAAGGTTTATTTGAATCAAAACGTGTGGTATGCTTAAAATAAATTATAACACAAAAGCTTAGGGATAGACAGCGTACCAAACAGTGTCACTAATTATCCTAAAATATTGAATAATTTGCAGTGTGATCCATCCCATTAATCAAACAACATAAACTGAATAACTATAACTACAGAAATTCTAATTTAAATAGTCACTTTATGAATATAAATCAGTTCATGATCAGTAAACAGAGCAGAGCAAAACAAAAAGGGACTATAATTTTAAAGAGAATTTTCTTAAATTACTTTCAGATTTATACTTTGAGATTTTAGTAGTATAATAATAATGTTTTAATAGTGTTTAGTAGCGCAATAACAGTGTTTTAATTTCAGTGTTTCTTTGATTAATTTCTTTCCTTGTAACTTCTACATAACTATTCCTTTTTGGGGATTTTATTTCAGGTAGAATACCACGACAATTGTGCATATGATTTTGTCGAAATTCGTGATGGACTGGAACTTCATAGTCCTCTCCTGGCCCGTCTTTGTGGATATAAAATCCCAGAAGAAGTTCGATCTATTTCGAACAAAATGCTCATTCGTTTCTTTTCTGATAGCTCAATACGGAAGATGGGGTTTTCCGCTACTTTCGTCACAGGTAATAAAGTCTAATGTGTAGTAACATCACAGAAATTAAAAATTATTGTACGCTTTGCACATACAAAAAAGGTAGGACAGTTATATTATCTGTCGTTCTACTGCGCCGATTGATGAAACTAACTTGCGCTTTTCATGTCTCGAAAGCACGACTTGGGATATATATTAGATTTATATATATACCATCGTTCAAACATAATTATTTTGATACAAAACTGGACTTTTTCTGAAATGATATACCCATTTTTGTTTTCGTATTTCGATTCTACGACTCAAATTATGCCTAATATTAAATTTTCAGTTTGCGCCAAGAATAATTCACTTGGCGAACTTCTTCATTTATAGCAACCTATTTTCCTTTCCTTTTTATTTCATTATATACGAGAGGAAAAAAGTGCCAGCATTCATACCTTCAAACAATTTTAACAAAGTGCGTAAACCACATTTGGCGCTATTATCGCTTATAACAAATATGCCAAATTTCAAAATGTGCTAATTTATAAATTAACTTATATCTTCAGGAATTTTGAACAAGAAAACTATTTTTGCATTTTTGCAGCTATGCCAAAACATACATGTACAAGGCGATAGTAAAAAAAATATAGGTTATAATTAAAAATTTGCTTCGAAAAATTAAAAGAAATTACAAAAAAAAAAAAAAAAAAAAAAAAAAAAAATACAAATTAAAAAAATATATGAGAAAATATCTCCGAATTTTATTTCTATTGAACCTGAATTCGAATTGTGAAAGAAGGAATCGAGTAAGTTTAACAAAAATGATATTTTAATAAACATATTCCAAATTCAGTTAACAATGAGGAGTTAAAATTTTGAGAGCTAATTTTTTAAAAACTATCCCTGTAATTTTTACAAAATTTGGTACTTTGGCATACTTTGAGTCGTAGATTCGGAATATGAAAATAAAAATAGGTATGTCATTTCAGAGAAAGTTCGATTTTATGTCAGAATACCTATGTTAGAATAATTGCTGTGTATAAAGCTAACATATTGTTAAGCTTTTTCTTTCCTCTTTACGTATAAGGTTCGTGCGGATTTGGAGTGAGTAATGACGACAGCACTCGATAAAGTATCAGAACACACTTTATTAGCCAGTATTCTCAGGACAGCTCCAAAATCACGTTTTTACAGTCGTCGAAGAACTACTATAAACACGCTGTGACAATCAGCGACACAGCCTTCAGGCAGGCTATAACGGTGAAGACAGCTTCACTGAAATTCACCAGAGTACAGCTCCCGAATCTGCTCCGTCGTTCTTGGAACTCCATGTACTCTCGAGACTGTCCACGCTACAACTCGCGATGCACTCGACGACACACTAGAATACAGCTCCCGACTCCTCGGTTCAGTTGTTTTCGGAGTTCGACACACTCTCTCGACGATGCACTAACCATGATACACTAAGAGACTCTTTTGGTGCACTCGACGACCAACTCGAAACTCACTGACTGACTGTCAACTCGATGAACTCCGCATGGACTAACTCTACCAGCAGGGTTTATATAGCTTTTGGCTTGTGTTCGAGAACATTCTGGGCTAAAGCAGTAAGAATTCGTTCCAGAAAGTTCTCCATCCGTCTGTAACATATAAACAAATTTGTCCCTAAATGTCGCCAATTGGGCGATTTCTCGCCAAATTGGCAATCCTGCGTCCCTTTGTCATTTTTCTGGCAACCCGAAACTTGCTTTGCGGGGAACCTATCTTGCCGCGCCTTGACATTTCGTAACAATATGCGCAAGTTAAATTTCGTCAATCGGTCCAGTAGATCGGGAGAATCCCATGTTTTTTGTGAAAGGTGTACTTTAATAGTTAAGTAAAAATTTACAGTTGCCTTAGTTACAAAATTATTGTCAAGTTTATTTGTCAGTTAGTTATTACCGCTTTTATTCCAATGATTTAAAATTTGCGACATAGCACTAATATTTTAAAATTTTTATAGGCAAACATTATACGAAATTATGGAGATAATTTTAGCGTGACAACTTATGCCGTTTTGCCTGCTTATTCTGCCTAAGAGCAACCATTAGTCGGTAATAGCAATTTGCCCTGTTTAAGTTAAGTTTACTTTTTTAATTCCCGTGAGTAACAATTGCTATGGATTACTTATTTTATTATTATTTTGGGTTACTTCCGCAAACTTCTACCAATAGTTCCTTTATGCCGATGTTTTGACTTACCAGTGATTGTTATTTTGAGCTTTAAAATTTTCCCTGTACATATTTTCACAAGACTTTATTTTTGCGGTAAGTAACACCAAACTGCGCAACAGAAACCAAGTAATAGATGAAATTAGTATTGCTTGTTTTGGTTTTGCATTGCCTTCATTTTGAGACTTATTCTAAAATTCAGTCGCGAATATATCATTAGCTGACGTTAAGCAAATCAAATGAAATGCGTACCACCCTGTTTCTCAGGATATTTCACATTTACTGTTAAAAGGATGGTAATCATGTGAGCACTTCTCCAATTACCATCGTCCAAATCCGTTTCTCCTATTTCAAACCCGTTCTTTACTTTTCTATACTTTCTGTGCAAATGAGCTTCTTTCTAAAATGGCATTTTGTTGAAAACTCCTTTCAAATAGCAAAACTTTAATTTATGTTACCTAATTTGCATCTAAATCAATTTTACTCTTATTTCTGTTAGTAATTCTGTAATTGTATTTACAATTTTAAAATATAATTCATATCATCACACATAAAAAGAGCAGTACTATATTAAATGAATATGTAAAGAAATTATGTTGAAAAGCTGACACTCCAACAGACTTAAGTTATGCATTTTCTAAGTTTCCAAATTGATATCTCGAATCTTATTAACTATTCTTCCCTAGTAGTTAAGAATTACTAGAAGTTGAAAGCATATATTTAAAAATTCCGTAAAATGTAATAAAAAAAGTCTTACATTTATAGCGTTTGAGCTTCTTTGAGAACAGAAACTAACATCAAACTCCTAATAGACGTTAAGCAAACCATAGCTGCGTCAAAAGTGAACTGCAGAATCTCGGAAAACGTTTTAAAACAAACCTTTTTATTTAAATCAGAACTTCAATATAAAATGCACGTTTCGTGCTCACATAATCAGCCACCACTTGCAGCGATGCAACTTAAAGCAACAATAAATAGACTTAGAACTTTTCACAGGAACGTTAACATGTCAGTAGCAATAATGCAAAGTCGAAGAATTAAACAGTCTTATCAGGACTGGTAAAAAGTATTAACGTGGCTCTCTTATAATCCAAAGCTTAATAACTATTCAATAATCGATTTAATGGCCTCTAACACATTTCCCTTCCAGTGAGGAAACAGAAAGGAGAAGTGGTAATAAAGGATGAAATTTATAAATAAATGGTTAGTACAAAATAATAGCAACAGCGCAAGTTTTATAATCCATCTTTGCTGATCAAACTGATGCCCATCAAATATATATATTTACGGCTTTTTTATTATCCTAAAACAATATTTAGAAAAAGTTATTTTATATGTTATAGTGGAGAATGAATTAATGAATATATCGATTTGCTGAAGTATTATATATATGCTGCTGGGGGAGAGGGACAGTTCTATATCTTCCGTTCTGCTGGGCCGATTGCCGAAATTCAAATTGCGTTTTTCATGTCTCAAAAGCACGATTTATGGTATGTATTAGATTTACTTATAGCATTGTTCTAATTACGTATTTTGACGCAATAGCGGACTTTTTCTGAAATGACATGCCATTTTTTCCCATATTTTGACTCTACGGCTCAAATTATGACAAATTGTCAAGTTTCGTAAAAATCGCTCGAGTAGTTTTTACAAAATTAGCTCCTCCGTGTTAATCGTAAAAATAATCGTAATAAACAAATACGTAATTCTTTACGTATTTGTTTATATCTTTTTTTATTAAACTTATTTGATTCTTCCTTTCACATTTCGAAATTTAGGTTTATTTCAAATAAAATTCGCAAATTTTTATGATACATTTTTTATGATTCGTATTTTTAAATAATCGTTTATTAAATTTTTCGAAAACATTTGTGAATTATCACATATAAAATTTTTATATTATCTTAAAGTAGATGCATTCTAAGCATACCTGCGAAAATTTTACAGTTTTTTATTAGAAATTTCCGAAGATGTACATGAATTTATATATAGGTGCCTTTTGAAATTTGGCGTATATATATTATACGCGATAACAGCGGCATACGTGGTTTACGGTACTTGTTAAAATTATTTGAAAGTAGGAACGATGTGAATCTTTTTCCGCTCATGCAAAATGTAAGGGAAAGGAAAATTGGTTATCATATATTAAGAAGTTTGCCAAGTGAATTATTATTGGCGCAAGCTGAAAAAAAGTGCGGCCTCGATAAATTTTTGAATTTCTTCGTAAATTTCGCACCAAATTTTACAAAATTTAATATTTAGGCATAATTTGATTCGTAGGATCGAAATATGGAAAACATTGGTATGTTATTACCGAAAACGTCCTGTTCTGTATGAAAATACCTATCTTAGAACAATGCTATATATAAATTTAATATACATCCTAAGTCGCGCTTTCGAGGCGTGAAAAACGCAGTTTGAATTTCGTCAATTGGCTCAGTAGAATTGGAGATATAGAACTCTCTCTCCCCCCCTTTTTTTTTTCTTTTTTTCTTTTTGCAATGTAGAAGGTTAGTTAAAACAAACTATTTAGCTATTAAAATGTTGACAATTTTTTTGTCACTGTAATCTACACTAAGAAAATTTCGGCTACAGCAGAAGTCAAAAACTGTCTTACGGAATGCATGGTGATATTATTTTTTTTAATTTAGTCAAATTACTGTTTTTGTTTATTTCCTAAAATTGTTGTTCTTGTATTATCTGTTACATATTTTCCTTCTTAAATGAATTATTATAATTGTTATTACTATATACTAATTTTGTTAGTAATGGCATAATTTGCAATTACTTCCCTTTCATATATAACTTTATAATATTTCGATTTGCTCATTAGTTGCATTTTAAATGAGTACTTTTTTCTTTCAGAAAAATAAAAATATTATGTTTGCCAATATAGATGTTCTTCTTCTAATCTAACTTATATTTATGTGACAGTTTTTAGTTTTTTTTCCCCCTTTTCCCTTTTTTCTTTTCTTAACTTCTTTTTTTGATTGAGTTACACTTTCAGTATTTTTAATATTATGTTGAAAATGTTATCAGTTATCTAAAAACAAATAATATTTAGAATCTCTTTATATGTTTTTGTGCAGAAACTGACGAATGTTTTGCTTTCAATCATGGCTGCCAACAGAAATGCATAAATACCGTAGGCAGTTATCGATGCGAATGTGATATCGGATACGAGCTCCACTCAGATGGAAAGAGGTGCGAAGGTACTTTGAATTTTATTTTCACTTTTACAACTATAATAACGAAAAAGACATGTAATAACATCATCACTGAAATAATTCACATCACTTGAATGACTTTAAAGATGTTAAATTATATACTGAATTTTATTTTCGTTGATATTTTTTCAAATAAATCAGTGTTAAACGATTAAAATATATGTCATGCAAAATAAGACGGCTATTTTTAATAAAGGTCCGAACAGCTGGGAATAAAAACGGGAGCAAAGATAAAAATCATAATGAATATAAAATTTAGGCACCTACCAACATCAGTTTCTTTCATTGCTTACTATCTGACCAAAAAGTGAAATTAGTTTCAGGATTAGGATTATTCAATTATGGCAAAGCACACGAGGGCTATCTGCCTAAAGGGAGGGATGCCTTCGTGGAGGACTTTCTAAGGAAAATGGCTCGTATACACGTTACACATGAGGAAAGCCACTAAGGCGCCCACGCAGCCAGCCCGTTCACTCGATTCGAACCTCGGACTGAACTAACAGTGTTCAGCGTCTTTACCGCTCGGCCGCTGGTGGGCCCTGAAATTAGTTTCAGAGGAACTACTAATGACCACAAATTATTTAGCACGTATTATGTCACTATTAACGTCACTTCGTTCTTTCTGGAAATTTCGGGCACTGTATAATCTACTCAGTCACATTCATGTTGGGTTCCTCATAGAAGATACATACATTCAATCAATGGAATACTGGTCTTCAGCAGACAAAAATCTAATAATGATTGTCCTCCTCAGATTTGCCTTGAATATAAATTCCAGTAGGTTTATTTACACTCGTATGACCCAAACAGAAGTAATAAAATGAAAAGTTGTTACGATAATACACCTATGTAACATGTATATGTACTGTGAAATTTCTCTAAGATCACCGCCTAGGATTTGAAGCGACCTTGATTTTCTATGGAGATGATCGCATTGAAGAAATTGTTTATCATTAACGTTAGTTATCTTTTTACACAGTGGGTTTTCCATACAAGGTATCTGTTAAAGAAAACTGTTGAATAAAAAATGCAGAATATTAAGCTGTTAATACAGTTTCCTTAAGAACATTACGAATTAAAGTTAGGTAAGAATACAGTAGCATTTTCCCCCTTACATCTAATTATTTGAAATATTGTTATTAAAGTAATACACTGAAGTGATACTGAATAAGGAATACCGGATTAGTAACTTGTTGCTCCTTTTCCTCGATAATGGCTGCCACACGACTAGGTATGGTGTCCACCGATAACATCGCGAACGAAAACGTCGCGGAGAAAACAACGCTAGGCGAAAACGTCGTGCTGCAAAACATCGTAGGAGAAAACATCGCAGTTCTAAACCATCGTGATACAAAATATCGTCGTCAAAAATAAAGCGGTTCAAAAACTTCGCAGTTTTAAAACATCGTTGTCGAAAATATCGCGGTAGAAAATAAAGTATCAACAAATTATCGCAGGACGATAACATCGCAGACATGCTTTTTTCATAATAATTGTAAATGGATATTCGCATAATGATTTGTGAACGCAAGATGGAAAGAAAGATTTTTACTTTCACATTTTTGATTAACTAATAAATTTTGCTGAAAAAAGAAGAAGGAAACTTAAGAATAAACTGAAGCAGAACAAGAAATAAGTTTCATTATAAGAGTATTAGATTTAACAAAAGTGAAAAAAATAATCTCATAATTAACTTCGCAATTTTTTAATAGATAAGATCATGCAATTACTTACCTTCCTTTTTCTAATCTTTTTTAGATTATACTTTTAATGAAAAATTACCAGTAAAAACTTTATCAAAAATGATTTATTAATGACCTTTGTTAGTATACTATGTCAGTTTAAAATTCTAATTAGGTGCTATAAGTTGCCTTAATTTTCTATGCTTAAATTTTCTTCTTACTTTTTCAGCAAAAAATTATTAGTTAATAAAAATATAAAAGTAAAAATTATCCTTCTTTCCATCTTGCGCTCATAAATCATTATGAAAATATCCATTTACAGTTACTAAAGCCTGAAAAAAGCATGGTCGTCCTGCGATGATTTGCCGATACTTCATTTTTTACCGCACTATTTTCGACAACGATGTTTTTAAACTGCGAAGTTTTCGAACCGCTTTATTTTCGACGATATTTTGTACCACGATGTTTTAGAACTGCGATGTTTTCTCCCACGATGTTTTAGAACTGCGATGTTTTCTCCCACGATGTTTTGTAGCACGAAGTTTTCGCCTTGCGTTGTTTTCTGCGCGACATTTTAGTTCGCGATGTTTTTGGCTGTGACCCTAGGTATAGATTCAACAAATCCAAGAAAATGTTCTTGATGTATGTCCTACCAAACGCTTTCTAAAATTTTCTGCAAGTCACTTAAGGACGCTTGTGGTGGAAGAAGTTTGCACGTCTTTTTTCCATAGTATCCCCTAACTGTTCAACAAGACTTCAAGACAAGCTTCTATTTCAGTAAGAGGAATTTCGTGGAATGCTTCTTGAAACAAGCATTGTGATAGGATCTAGGACAAAAGCAGTTAGTTTTTTAGTACATTATATTTCCATCTAGATGGCTGATGATCGCTCAACAGACTTACTTTCACTTAAATAGAATGAAAGGGCTTTGTGCAAAGGGTCTAAACAAAGGATCTTTTCTGTCTGACACACTGGGCCTATAACCTTATGGACCTTGTAACTATTATGCTAATTTTATTAAGAGTTAAATCTTAAGTTCCTTTCCTGTCCAATTCTTAACTTCAACTTACTACTTCCGGCCAGAACGTAGTTTTGGAATCACTCTGAATACTTAATGAGGAGGAGCGGTATTTAAACATTGAAGTCTACTTGCTGAGTTGGAGAGAATCAGAGTTTCTGATTTGCGCGCGTCTGCCTTTTGGCTACTCTGTTAAGCTGTTATTACGCTCGGCTGTACTCAGGCCCTTGATAAGCTTCGTAGTCAAATAGAGTTAAGGGGCCAACTCGGTTAGGATCTTGATAGCTTCGGCTATATCTCCTTAGTTAATCTTAGTTTTAGTTTATTTCTTAGTCTCTTAAGTTCAAGCCAAAGTGTCGGCTTTTATTGTACACTCTAAGACGGAGTTTTGTTAAATCTTATTGGAATAATAAATTCTTCCATCTTGTTGTTTCTCATTACACGAACTTAAGCGATTATTCGCTAACTATTCTTAAGATTCGCCACTTTCTACAGTAACTGAGAAATACACTAGTGAGAATCTTACAACCTAATGCCGCATCCTTAGTCCATCTTCAGCAAGATGCGGTTATGTGGTTTGTAGTAGCAAGATGCGGTTATGTGGTTAGAACTGAGACTCATTCTCCCATGCTGCTTGCTTGAAAAGTTCATTCACGGCTTCAGTCAAGTCACTATTATTTAAAGTTTCTGGTCTCTTGCAAATTTGCTCGAATACTCTTTTTTTTTTTTTTTTTTTTTTTTCTGCTTTACGTGTACTCTTATCATATTATCGATTCTGTGTAACAAAAATTCTTATTCTCGAACTGTTTCTGAAACTGAATGAATCATACGTCGAGCATCTATTACTTGTTCTTAATACAAAGTACATAGTAAATTTTACTCATGCTTTTAACAGCTGTTTGAGAGGGCTGCACCTTTAGCTTTATATGCTAAGGTAGCGGCTATCGTGCGCAGGAATGAGATAACATCTATACGACGTTGGCATAACGCTGTCCTTCCAGGAAAGCCAGGAGCACTGAAGGAAGTATGTGAGTTATCGGTGTTGTTATTTGGAAATTGCGAAAGTAATAATTACAATCGCTTAAAAAAACTGCCTTGCATTCACTTTCGTCAATTTTTGTTGACAAATGATGCAACTTTTTGACTACTGAAATTCAATTTTTCGTTTCGAGTTTCAACTGCTGCTTTGTATCATTGAAGTGGCATCACTGAAGTGGCATCAAAGCAACTTATTTCTTTTCTCTATTTTCAACTGTGTTTTATTATTAGTGAAGTTCATCGGGTTTATTTCTTGTTGACTCATCGAAGTGTCTAAGCTTGTGCGTTTCAGTGTAGATTTTGTAAATCTTAAGTGGCTACTTAAGTGGCTTTATACTAAGATACCTGCAACCCAAAAATATGACCACACAATTAAAATTTATTAATGATGCTGTTAGCAATCTGTCGCACTAAAATTTGACATACGTCAGTGAATAGCTGCCATAGAAGTAATGAACGTGTTTCAAATACCTAAATAAAATTTATATTTTTTATTGCTTTATATGAAATATCTTTTTTCTATATATTAAAACAATATTCAGTTAGCGCATTTCAAAAATTTAAGTGTATAGCTTATTTATTTATTTCTGGTAAAATTTGCTATATGTCTTTGTAATAAATTCTTAACTTCGTTCATATAATAGTATTAATCATTCTATTTAAAACACTTGCAATTCAAGTGCTTTTAACACTAGTTTTTCAAAAATGGATGAAACATAAATTTAATAATTTCCCTTCCCCAGTTTAATATGAAATAAAAATTGAGTCCAATAATCGATAGTATAATGTAAATAACAGCTGTAGCTAATGTAATACAATAACAACTAATATAACACATTTTGCATACAACTAGAATGCATTCTTAAATACATGGGAAGCAGAAAGTAACGAAAACGAAACACACTTTCTTATGACAACTCTCCCCAACCAAACATCTTATCGGTTAGTTTGCTCTAAAGAGCACAAAACAACGGCCCAGGGCTATAAAACATGGTTCATTCGAAATCTGCTTCTGGACGTCGTTAAAAATCTATTTCATGCTCTAGTACTGCGCCTCAGGGCCCTTCGGGTTTTCGTCTTATCCTCTATAATCTCTTACAAAAAGACCACAGCGAGTGGAGCTTTTCACTAGAATCAACCACTATCTTTATTGTGTCCTTTTATATACACGCGGGAGAGAGAAGAGGTTGCAGTTCTTTTTCAAAACTGATTTTTGCATTTAAGTACGCTGAGAAAACTAAATAACC